GATATCAGTCTCTCTCTGATCAATCAATCATACCTGCAATGGCTCCTCTGGCTAAGACTCTCGCCCTTGCTGGCGCCCTTTTCGCCGCCGTCGCCTCGACCGCTCCTGTGCAAAAGCGCCAGGATGCTGTTGTGAGTACGCGCACTACAGTCGAATGGACTACCGTGACGGTCACCACGACCATCACCACGGATCGACCTGTCCAGACTCCAGCTCAGCCCACTGTCTCCGTCCCTGCGTCCTCGGATCCCGTCGTGACTCCTGAACCTTCTCAGCCTGCTGAGGTTTCTAACGAGTCCGAGGAGAGTGAGGCCCCTGAGCCTCAGCAGTCTGCGACCGTCCAGCCGGTTTGGACTCCCACCCCGGCTGCGCCCACTATCTCGGTTACTCCCACCCCGGAGCCTACTGAACAGCCGGAGCCTACCGAGCAGCCAGAGCCCACCACCACCAGCACCCCTCCTGTCGTGGTCCCGACATCGTCTAGCACTACCTCCGCTGCCCCTCAGCCTACCGCCAGCAGCCCCAGCGGTAGCGGATACACCGGCACCTGTTCCCAGGGCTCCCCGTGCAAGGGTCAGGTCACCTTCTACGACACTGCCACCTCTTCACTCGCCCCTAGCAGCTGCGGATACACCAATGATGGCAGCACCGAGGACGTCTTGGCCCTTCCCGTCGGCATGATGCAGGACAGCGACTGCGGCCGCATGGTGACCGTGCATTACAATGGCAAGGTCGCTTCCGGCAAGGTCGTTGACAAGTGCATGGGCTGCGACAGCACCTCAATTGATCTGTCGCGCCACTTCTTCGGTTTGCTGGCTTCCGAAGATGAGGGCCGTCTCCACGATGTTGAGTGGTTCCTTCAGTAAATGCGTTGAGTGCTAGCTGCTTCTTCTGGCTCTTTACTTGATTTTTGTTGTTTCGCTTCGTCGATATCCATACCCCATTTTCTCCTCTTAACCTTCTCCACATTCGTTTTGATACATATTTTACACGATTTGCTCCGCATGGAGTATTTGAGCTATGTTCATAGATATTTTCGGGTTATTTAAAACCACATTTACATTCGACGCACAAGAAGCAGCACGCAGGACGCATCTGGTCCATGACATGATACCACGACACTGGGATTGGCGCATTGCCATTTGGATGGAATCGGGTATTCTATCTGATGCGCATTAGGTAGCAATGGTTCAGGAACAATGATAAAAAGGTTTATTGCAAGTTCCACACATGCACCTGACGTGTCCACCGTAGACTCGTTCACCAGTCAAACGAGTAGGGTAATACAGAGACCACTAGGCCACGCATGGTTCCTTTTTCACTAGTACTTGCAGATCATTTCCAGACAGAGTCCTAGAGTCAATGCTTCCGAAGGTAGATCATTACACACTCAACATTATATATACTACCAAGATATCAACAACGTCACACAGAGATTAAACCCGTCCCCAGTGAACTTAAACCTTCTCGTAAAGCTTTGCCTGCTCCCGAACAAACTTCTCCGCATCGACGCCCTTCCGTGCCAAACCTCCCACGATCCTCGCCAGCACGGCATCCTCACAGAAGGGCCTCTCCACATGCACCTCGCTTACACCATCACTCCGCTTCGTAATGCTAAACGGCGTCCCCGGGCCCTCGCAGTTGAACTGTGCATCTCCGCCACGTAGGGAGCAAATCTTATTTTTTGCACATTCGCCCGAGCACTCCGTGACATTGTAACCTCTCGTGGTGCGCGACCACCACGCCTGGAAGACGGAGTCATCCTTCTCCATTTGGGCTGTTACCTTGTGCCAGAAGGAGGGGGTCATTTCGACCTTCGGATCGGTGACGGGTGGGGTCAAGAGGGAGCCGTAGGCTTCTTTGGCGGAGTAGTATTTGACCCATTTAGGTGGGGTGTTGGGGGAATCGGTGCTGTTGATGTCGGCCGTGTAGACGGTGTAGTCGAGCACGGCGAAGGTGACGGGGTCGATGTCGTAGATGCGGAAGGCCGGGGCGCCCGAGTCTGGGGTCATGGATGGGGTAACGTAGCCGATTGCGGTGGCCGAGTCAGCGGTGCGGGCGGTGTAGTTGGTATACGAAATCTGGAAGAGGTCCGTGTGGGTGTGACCGAAAAAGAGGGCGGCAATGCTGGCGCTGTAGCGGTTGATGATCTGGTCAAGGTAGTGCGAGTAGTCGTGCAGGGTGTCGGTGTTGCCGGTGGGGATGTGAGCGATCATCCAGACGCGCTGACCGGCGGTCTCAGCGGCTTGCAGCTCGGAGATGAGCCAGTGAAGTTGGTTGTCAGGGTCGTATTCCATTGGTTCCTGGAAGGCGTAGAAGTTGTATTTGTAGTAGAAGACGCTGTTATAGGAGATGATGCGGAGGTTGCTATTGGGGTGGACGATGGAGTATGAACCGTGTTTGGTGGTTGAGCTGGGTGAACCCTCGACGAGGTTGGACCAGTCGCTGGCCAGGGCATCGTAGGCCCATTGGGGGTTGTGAGAGGGCGGGACTTTGTCCGAAGGGAAGAGGTTGACCGGGGCTGCGTCGTGATTTCCCAGGGCCGCGTAGACAATGCCCAGTTTCCCCAGGTTGGAGTAGGTGGAGTTGAAGCTCTGCAGGACTGAGCTCTGGTTCACAAGCCAGATGTCGTGTGGTGGGACGTCACCCGTGTAGATGGAGAACGTTGGGTCGAGGGCCGCGATAGCGTCCATCATGGAGTCTTCGAGACGAACTGGAGGATCGCAGTGATGGTCACCCCAGAGCCCGCACGGGGTTGAGGTGTTACCGGGCGCGTCTTCCGGGGTGAAACTACGACAGCAAATAGGCTTGGTGCATTGTGCACTGGCTCCTGGCGTGTATTGCAAATCAACGTGTGTGTCACTAATGTGTGCGACACGGATCGGAGGCTGGCCACTCGGGGGTGGACGAGTGACCGAGGACTTGGCTACGGGGAACGTGAGGTTGTATGGCCGAACATCGGGGTAGTCGCAAAGGCCGGCAATGCTTGAGCAGAAGGTTTTGGATGTATGCGAGCCGACCTTCAGATTCTTCAGGGCGTAATAAACGGCCGTGCCCTCTTCTTTGATGGCCCCCTCACAAACGTCGTCATCCTCGATCTGACGTGAGGCATTAACCGATGTCCTTTAAATTTTCACACGTTATGAACTCCGCTAAAAGCATTTACTTACCCCTGCCAACTTACACGCGTCGGTCACAACGTGTTCCAATGCATTTTGACCCAGACCGGCTACTAGTTTGAGTGCCCCCAGCAGGCCCTTCGAGAGTCAGCCTATCTTGCCTTCCATGGATAGTTTGATGCCTCTCCGACATACCTCACAGCCAGCACAGGTGACTGCTCCTTTGAAATCATCCCAAATCGTGCCAGCCAAGTCGGCCTCGGGATTAGCATGAGTGCCGGCCAGGGAGGCCAGGGCCGCAAGGAAGAAAAATGGTCTCATGTCCCTAGTCTGATATGGGATCAAGATCGATGACCAAGCTGCAGCTTATCTTCCGCTATCTCGAATTCCTGTCCATGGAACAGAGCAGAACCTGCCAGTTTTATAGCAGGGTCTCGCAAGGACGTCCGGCCCCTGAGGCAGCGCTTCCCGTCGGAAGCCGACTGATCGTCCTGAAAAATGGGACGTTCCATTTTGGCGTATTCCCTCGGATAGGGAGTAGAACTCAGGGCAACAGAGAGGAGACGAGCCCATGTGATGGCTTGGGTTGCATCGTGAGCAAGCGGTAGGCTCCGTAGTGTTCTCCGCACCCAGATTTAGTCAAGAAAACAACGGCTGACATAGTGGAGAATGACCAGGACGGTCACTAGTCAAGCGTTAGCGAGAGTTAGTTGAAATACGGGGACCATTGTGCATGGACAATGTTACTTAATTCTTCAGGCAGTTGTAATTGTCTCTGTGATAAGAAGATCCTCATCAAGAGATCTGATAGACTGGATACTGATTTGCAGCCGAGGCATTGTCCCTTTTCAGGGGGCCAAGAATGATTCCTCAGATTTGTTCCAACTCTGTACTATTCATGTTCTGTCCGGAGGAACTAAATTTCTTATTTGTCGCACGTCCCCAACTGCACGGTAGATCCTCCTGGACGGGGTGGATTCTATTCATACCCATCTGTATTATGCGTGGACCGGGTATGAGGGTTGAAACTTCAATCTTTATGTCAACAATGTTCTTGTGATTTCTTCTCTCAGTTTTTGGGGAGGTGTTCGGAAGAGATGAGAATCCCATCTATACGGATTGGGTTACATGCATGCGAGGGATGAAGCGAGAATAAATTAGTAAGAAAAAAAAAAAAAAAAAGGTCGGCTGAGTCAGAAGGTACGAGCTGACATGGGGAGAGGGTAAAAAAAGGGAAGGAAGGAAGGAAAGTATACCGGAAGCAGAACAGATGAGGTGTAAGTTCTGTCTGTACGTACATTACATACCTTCTAATGAGAAGACACAAGAAGTACTGTATGTACCCCGTACTCCGTACATACTTTCTTTTCTTACGTGGCTGAGTTGTCAGCGCAACATCGGCCGGCTCTCCACGGAGTATAGAGAAGAACTCCAGCGTACCAGTCGAAATCTCCCAAAAAGGTTCATGGCGAATTGAAATTCCACTTATAGTCTCGCCTTTGTGAGGAGGGCCGCAAACTATTGAAGACAAATAAAAATATGCAGGATCTCATCCCTTGGGTGAGAAAAGACCCACGCCGAACCACACAATTTCTTTTCTCCGCTTTCTCCTCATCGTTCCAACTTTCTTCCTCCTTCTCTGACGTTGCCTCTTGCAAATTCCTATTGTCTTACCTCTGCTTGATAGACCCTTCTTTTGGCGGATTTTCTCGAATAAATCGATTTTAATTCTTATTGTCGAGATCAATAACGGTTCATCCAGTCTTTCTAGCCTCCTCCTTCGCCCCTCCAACAGCTTCCCAGTCTGCGTGTCACACAATCTCTCTATCTCGACTCGGTCAAGTTTTCTCCATCATCGGGGATGTTGTCGTCGTTTTTTCGATTCCTCCGCATTCGGTGACCATGGAGCCGTTTCACCCTCGAGAATTAACGCTTACATCTCTGTCGAATTCTCTCGCGATAAGATCTAAATGATCGTGAACGCTCTTGGGTTGTTACTCTGCGATCTCCAAGGTTCACACGAGGCTACACGAGCTGTGGTCGCGGTCGCCCATCATGGAAGACCGCAGACCGGAAGTGTTGATCGTGTCCATTATCTTCTTCGTTATCGCCTCCGTCTTTGTGGCACTGCGCTTCATCTCGCGGGTTTTCATTGTTAAGAAAGTCGGGCTACATGACTATTTGATGCTGTTGGCATGGGTACGTCTGATGTTTCGCCTGTCGGTTGCATGCGAATGTTGAAATTCAAGCGTCGTCGCGTGGGGAAAGAGAACAGATGAACGGTGAAAAAAAAAATAAATGACTGACTGACGTTACACAGGTCATCGATTTTGGCTTCTCATTCTCCTTATTTTATGCCACGAGAAAAGGCCTGGGTCTCCATGATAACGACATAGCTCTTAGTGACCGGTACAGCCTCAATCGAGCCAATTATGCATTCACGGTGTTATATGTGAGTTGCTATCTAAAGTCCGGTTGACTCCGATTGCTGATTCAATAGAACCCCGCGTTGATGGCCGTCAAAAGCTCCATCCTCGTCTTCTACCTCACTTTAACCCAAGGGGAGAGGGTTTTCCGTTGCGCAAATTATGTGACTCTTTTCGTCGTGAATGCCGCCGGATTGGCGCTCACACTGGTCAACGTCTTTCAATGTCGTCCCGTTGGAGCGGCCTTTTCCTATCCCCTGGCCCCGAATGCACACTGTACCGATATCCTCACTCTATACCTTTCTTCCTCTCCGGTGAACATCATTACCGACCTAGCCATTCTCTTCTTGCCAAACCCCATCTTAACTCAAATGCGTCTTCCGCGGAAACAGAAGATCATTCTTGTCATCACCTTTAGCTTTGGTTTCTTCGTCGCTGTAGTCGATGTAATCCGCATTGCCTACCTTCAAAATGCGGCTACATCACGCCAAATCCTGCTGAGAGAGATCCACCTGCAAGATGCAAGCGGTGACGACCTGAATTGTATGTGTGACATGGCCGTATCCCCCAACCAAACTATTTAACGCCCCGCGCTGACCTGACAAGGGTATGCTTCACTTTCATTCATGTGGTCGGTTGTCGAGGTCAATGTGTCGGTCATGTGTGCCTGTGTGCCTAGTCTCAAGCCTTTAGTAGCGCGAATCATCCCAAAGATGATCCGGGACACGGACGATAGCACGACCGTGCCAAATGCCCCCACGGTTGGGCCCCTAGATATTCCGGATATCCCAGATATTGCTGAACCTGCGCCCCTTCCAACTATCCCAGGTCCCAACATGCGACGACACTCGCAGTCCGCCAACCATAGTAAGTCCTCTCCGTCAGGCAGTGGTAGCAGTGCCAGTCGGAGAGAGACGGGCGGTCCAATCGATATGAGAGAGTTCCTGATGGGCAGTGACCCACCTCCTCACGATGCGGAAGCGAATACAACCCTCACCACTACATCGTACCTGCCTAGCATCACTTTCTTCGACTTTGTCAATATGAAGAAACCAGCGAATATGCTGAAGCTCAGCAACAAGGAATCCATTGCGCCGATCTCCCTAACCACGATCTTGTTTTTCTTGTGGGGATTCGCTTACGGGTTGCTGGATATTCTCAACGCACAATTTCAGGATATTGTTCGATTAGATGCCTGGCGATCGTTGGGCCTGAACGCTGTTTACTTTGGGGGGTATTTCATAGGCCCACCGTTGGTGGGCCGCACGGTGCTGAAACATTGGGGGTTCAAGTCGACTTTCATCACAGGCCTGTGTATTTACGCTTGCGGCACTTTGATATTTTGGCCCTCGGCTGTCCTGACTTCGTACTCTGCCTTCATCGTCTCTAACTTCATCGTCGGCTTTGGATTAGCAGTATTGGAAACCGCCGCCAACCCATTCATAGCACTGTGTGGGCCCCTAGAGAATTCGGAGATTCGATTGAATATCTCGCAAGGTGTCCAAGCGATAGGAAGCGTAGTTTCGCCGCTTTTAGCGAAAAAGGTCCTTTTCAAGAAGGTGACCGACGTTTCTTCTCTGGTTGATGTTCAATGGACTTATCTTGGCATTGCGTTATTTGACGTGCTTCTGGCTGTGGCTTTCTATTACTTACCAATCCCAGAGGCATCGGATGAGGATCTTCAGGAGCTAGCAAACCGGCGTCGGAGCGACAACATGACCCAGGTCGCCGGGGTTCCAGTGGTCTGGTTAACCTTAGGACTGGGGGTGTTTTCACAATTTTTCTACGTCGCCGGACAGGAAATAATTTCGCAAAGTTTCACCGTTTTCGTCGAAGATGCCTATCCCAGGTAAGTTGGCAGGTCACTTCGATATGCCTGGACGTTCACTTATCGAAACACAGTTCTCGCCTTAGCTCCTTTGATTATCTGACCATCGCTCATTCTATCTTTGCGGTTGGTCGTTTCCTTGCCGCCTTTCTGCAATTATTCCTGAAGCCACGATGGATTTTGCTTATATCGTACATTGGAATGATAGTTTTCTCCATACTATGCATGAAAACGACGGGCGTCGCGGCGGTTGCCATGGGTCTCATGGTCTACCTCTTCGAAAGTGGTGCATTTAGCATTATTTTCGCTATCTCTCTCCGCGGTACAGGCCAACATACAAAGACCGCTGCAACGCTTCTGACGACGGCGATCAGCGGAGGTTCCTGCTTTCCGTTCGCACAACATGCAGCCAGCCTCGCTGGGGGCATGTCATTCTCGTATAGTGTCCTCGTTGCTGTCTTCTGCGCTGGTGCCATCTTTCCGGTGTACTTGAACCTAGTACCTGCCGCAAAGAAGCAGGTTGACCCAGTACCAAACGAACACCTCCGCCGCCCACGTCGCCACCGCTCTAAGCCTAATATTGTCGAGCGGGAGAAGGAAAACCCTTCTGTGGGCGGAGTTTATTCACGGCGGCGAAGCGTCCTGTCGGACCTGCTGCCAGCGGTTACACTTTCTGACCAATCGTCATCCCAACCCGACCTGGCTAATAATGGGCACCCCCGCTCAGCTGCCCACGGTGGCCTTCAACATGACTTGGCCCCTTGGCCCGAATCATAATGCCTATCTCGCTTTCAACTGTATGTTTCTTTGAGGTGTTTCTTCTTATGTGATACCCTTTTTCGCGATAATACCATTTAATTGTCTGTTACGGTCTGCTCTTGTTATCTTGGCACAGCGAGGCGTTGAGGGAAAAAGGTTTAGGCATACTTATACAGGGGTGCCTCTTGAGATAGGTCAATGCGCTGTACGCATGTACCGGATGATTGGACCGAGATACGGAGTATTACTTCGATAGTTGTATATACCCGAAGTCTTTAGGTGATGTTATAGATTCCTCTATTAATTGAGAGTCCAACAGATGAAGTATATAGCATATAGAGGAATCAGCAAGGGACGGGAAACCGAATTCTCGTGTATATAAATGATCCACACGACCCTGGGACTTTGAAACTGAGAATCACAGGTAGTGTAGTCAAGTCCATCGCACCTGAGATCGTAAGATATCGAAGAGCGCTCATGAAATCAGTGCTCACTCAGAACATTACCGAGATACTAAAAAAACGAAAACGAATCATGATGGCCCCGTGTCATTAGTTGCTTGGTGAACCGCCTGCTGGGCAAGATCTCGAAGACTAGAGATAAATCCGGTGATAGCTTGCAGATGAGCGGCTTTGTCAGCTCGAGAAATTTGTCTCAGGAAGACCCTTTCAGTCGTGTGCTCTGTTACTGCCAGGAGCTGCGTATCACTCGCTGCGCTCTCAGTACGTGGATTTTCCAGCAGGTTACAGAATATTGTGAGCATCGCTGACATAGGATAAAAAAGGAGAGTCCTAGGTGGCCAATAGCAGGTTAGAAGAACACTGTGTAGAGTTTGGCATACTAAGGACAAAAGCCAAGTTCTGTACATGTAGGTCTCTTACCAAAAGCTCCCTACACTCACGAGGGACTCAGAGTAATGTAGAAATACTAAAAGGGACCGACTAGCTTCCACGGATAAAGTCAGACTTAAGCGGAGTCCGTCCATCATGCCTGCTGGGGTGGAAGTCGAACGCCACGCTTCGCATCGACTTCCGGCTAGGTGGATTATGTTAACGCAGAAGTAGTAGTTCAAATGCGTCAGAACAAGATACATGGTGTCGACTCGCTGGTCTTCAGAGTTTTCTTTTGCGAATGAAAGTTTAGGTCTCAGTTTTGAGGGCATCGACATTCGCCAGAGTTCTAACTCTTCGTCTAGTTCCCGAATTGATCGGACGACCTCAGCGTCGTTTTTCTGTAGTCCACGATGGGAGTAGAGAGCGGTAAAGATTTGAGACTTGACCATGCTGAGCCGTAAGTCGATGGGAAACAGAAGACCGTGCGCATTTTCCATCGAGGAATAGCTCATCCTGGAGTGTAGTTTCTCAGTATAACCGGGTGGTAGTTGGAGATCGCAGTCTTCATCCCTGAGGCAGTGGCTCTGCCCAGTACGCAAGGAAAGATCCTTGTCGAGGGCGTAGCAGAGCCAGAAAAGGTCGCGAAGGTGTTTCCTAGTCTCTTTGTCTCTGGAGCCTCCGACGGCAGATTCTGGTACCGCGCATGGATCTCCCATTGTGTGAGCTCCCAGAGCAATGATGAAACGTGATGCGATCGAGTTATAATTTGTTGCTGTTTGCAATTCGCCGGTGAGTATCCCTAGTATTGACTGGGGATTTATCAGAAATGAAAGGATTAGTGCAGGTTCCCAGTCTGAACTTTGATTCTTCTCTTTTGAGGGATATACAAAAGCAAATTGGGATGGATGATAGTACCAGTAGAAGAGCTGTCTGTAATGCATCCAAGTTGAGCGGTTCTTGAAGCAAAGACGGCAAAAGAGCCTGGGCCTTCATAGCATACTCGTCTCGAGGAATAGGAGGTGGTTTGGGGGCTGTACAACGAGTGGCAAGATGATCTAAGCTAGAAATCAACGCCAGAAAAGCGAATATGCATGCTCTTGAACTAGGGCAGTGGGCTTTCTTATTGTGTTCAGGCAGCAAATAGGCTGCGCGTATCGTCTGGGAGAAGAGTGACGAATTGATGACAGGAAAGATTGTGTGGATGGCCGAGGAAGCATACACGTCTAGGTATCGCTTCAGTACTGTCCGTGCGGGAAGCCCAGAAGGTGTTGACGCGGCGTCATGGACACCATCTAAGTCCGGAGACATAGAAGATAGGGGTGGCTTCTCCCATGGAGCGTGGCAAAGATTTGGAAGAGGGATAACGATTCCGGTTCTTGACTCAATCCAGCGAAGACCCTCAGGGAGAAGACTCGGCACTCCTATCTGAGGAGCAATATTTCCAATCTTCCAACCTGCAAAGTGAATAATCCTGGGGGATGGCAGCAGCGGGTATGCTTGCTCTAAGTGGATAGGCTGTTTCTCAGGTGGTCTTTCTTCATTAGCAAAGTAAGTAGGTGATCCAAGGTATGAAAGAGTAAGAATGAAAAAGGTGACGGGGACAAGAAAATACAAACCCATCACTCCAGCTTCTGCTCTGCGTTCATCGATGCGCCGAATGCGATCGATCAAACTGATTCTTTGGCTACTATCAAGATTAAGTTTCATGGTTGGTCATAAATCATTTTGTAGGAGGTCAAAGCAGTATAGTATAAGTACCTGCTATCCTGACGTCGTCTCTTCGAACGTAAATCTGATGAATACGTGCAATTCATGCCATGGTGGAGGCACCAATTACATTGGGGGCCAATGCGGTCACATTTGATCTAATCCGAGACACTTTATAAACTCATGAAAGTAGTATATAGTGGATGTGGATGTGGATGGGATGAAAGTACCTTTCGTTTGTAGCACGCATCACAGGCCGTTACCCTTCTGGGAACTGGGTCGTTAGGCATATCGAACAAAATTACTTGGCTCCGATATAGGTTAAGTCTTATTGGATTGATCACTAAATCAATGGTCAAGAATTGAAACAAAAGAATAAAATTACTATACTAGAGGCTTTTCTCCTCCCCCCCCCCCCCTTTTAAGGGCGCATTAGTTAAGTTGCCTCATGACTTTGTATGGTAACGTTAGGTAATTGATACAGAGCCGCTTAGCTAATCACCTCCGAGTAACGTGACTGATGAAGAACGCTTCTAGCAAATGATTCCTACTACGGAGTATAGTAGGCAGCATTACAAGACATCTATTTATCTAACTTCAATTGTTGTATTACTTCCTCTCTTCTTGCTTCCTTATCAATCATACAAGTATCCCTGGCACAATGTCTCTAATCATAGTCAAAATGTAACAGCTTTACTGTCACATATACTTCCATATAGTAGTAAGCTCAAAAGTTCTTGTAGAAACGCGGGCCGTTCTGTCTATATCTGGGCTTCCTGTACCAGTTTATGTGCATCCCCAATTGGATCTGACGGCCAAGTGAAGGCGAACATATCCTTAGGGACCTCCGCATCGGCCACGTAGGTGCGGAGCTCTTCCAGCATCTCCGCCCGTCGTTCATCGTGCGTTTTGGACATCATCATCACGGTCACCGCGTGCTTATACCGGATCTTGTTGTACAATTCAAGGCGCTGCGGGATCTGCCCTATGGCCATGTCCTCTGTCATAACTCCACCAAGTGCCGCCGCATCTTCAAATGCTTGAGCAGCGCCTTGTCCTTGGTCTGCGGTGCACCCAATCAGCAAACAAGGTGAAACAAATGGAAAGAGAATACAGGATGGTAAGAGACATACGAGGTAACATGGGATGCGCCGCATCGCCGATTAGAGCCAACTTGCCTCTCACAAACGTGGGAGCTGGACTGCGCGAAGCCAGGCTCCACAGCTTCAGGTCCTCCGCGAGACGACACATCTCCTGAAGCTCTTCGCCAAAGTCCTGATAGGTTTCAATCAGCTGACTCAAGCTGCCCCCATCAAGCCACGATGAATCTCTGGCGTTCGTCTCTTTTCTGGCAGGGTGAATGCCCGCCACGTTCAGCAACTGGCCACCCCGACAGGGATAAACCACGATGCGTCGGTCATGCGCTACGAAGGCATGCACTCCGTCGATGCCCGTCTTTTCCATAAGCGCGGCAGTTAATGGATTGGCCTGTATCCTTTCCATGGGCACCAAGAAACGAAAGCAGTTTTGACCGGTGCTCTGGCGTCCTTTGTTTTCCCCGACGATGGCCTGAACGGTGCGGGACTGGCAGCGTTGGATGACTTGAGTAAATATACAGCTAGGCTATGTGAAACATGATGCTTAAAGGACAACTTACGTGAATACCGTCAGCCCCTACAACTAGGTCAGCGACATATGTCGTACCATCTTCGAGGACTACTTCGCCGGCCTCTGCATCCTGTGAGCAGAAAATGTGAGATCAGTGAGCGCCTCCTAGTAAAATCAGGACCATAACGGGTGCACGATGACGTACCACCGATAATACACGCGAAGAGAGGCGGATGTTGATTTTGCGGCCATTAACCTCATTGGTGGCTGTGGCGCGCAGGGCATTATGCAGGTCAACTCGATGGGTCAACAACCATTCATCCATCGTATTCAGGGCCATCTGGCGCTCTTTTGTCACCTGGCTTTCCTGTTAATCCACAGATATGCCGGCGAAGAACGAACACACCAGCAGCAACTCACAATTGGGGTCCACATAAGATTCCCTGAGGCATCCCACACTTGTAACTTGTTGCAGTGGACGGGATGTAAACTTTCCAAATCACATCCCCAGGCCTTCAAAATTCGGGTGGCATTGGGCGCCACATGGATGGCAGCGCCGACTTCGTTCAGAAAACCCGACTGCTCAATAACCTACGGGCAGGATCAGCCAACCTCACTTTTCAGGACAGCATAGGGTACACAGCAAGATAAGGATCATCAGACCTGGACCTGATGGCCTGCACGGCTCAACGAAATTGCAGCACCCAGGCCGGCGAGACCGGCACCAACAACGACTACCTTTATGGGCATGTTGATTGCGGCGTGGACTATGCGAGGAATCAAAACTTAAAAGAGCACAATCAAAGGACCAGGAGAAGGGAGGTGTGAATAGATGGATTCAACTCTAAGCTGAGAGAATAATCTCGAGAACCTGGGCATCTTATAAACGAACCTCAGGCGCATTTTATATTCTTTCAGAAGCGATAAGGACTAGGTATAGAGCATGAAATTCTTCTCCACTACGATCGATGGGTAGTGATCATCATCTCAGGGTGGGGTTTCTCGTTTGGACTATTGCGTTGTATTGCCCATGACCCAATCTTCCAAGCATATGGCCATACACGTTATAATTGAAAGGTATTAACAGGTCAGGGGGACATATATATTACTCTAGCCTATGCCCTGATACTTCGTTATTGTCTCAGCTAACTGAAAATATGAATACAATAGATGAAATGAACAAAAAAAAAAGCCTTGAAACTGCTTGGTTTTAACCGCAGATTCTTGTCTTCTCTGAGAAAAATAGATGGTCATCATATTCAGTAACAAATGAACTCGATACGATACACTTCCGACTCCTTGCTGGAAGTCGGATTACCGGCAGCGAACGGGACCTCTTTCTTGATATTTTGGGTGTGTTTGGTGTCCGATTATCTAACACTGTCCGCTTAAGTTAACTAACTAACTATTAGTTAGTTAACTAATTTGTTCCGATTAGCTAATCGGACATGGAGGTTGCCCTAAGAAGTATCATCCCCAGTTGCTTAAACACAATGGGTCCAATGGCAATCATGGCCTGGGCTCATGCTAAGGGTGAAAGGAAAAAAACTATCAAGACGCAAAATTAGAGGATAAGCTACAGCCTCAGTGAATCTATTCGCTCGGATTTCGGACATCGGACTATCGATGGCAAATCCATGGGCTATATTAGGGGGAAATTCCCTATGGATTCCCCTGGTCCTACTCGGTATTTTCCTTTCATTTTTCTTCTCAGAGATCAATCTCATTGTATCTGAAGAAGTCAATTGTGACTTTCTCAAGAACCCTCGCTTCTGTTGGACTGGAAAACCCATACCGTCATCAACCATACTGGCAACATCCCAATCCTTCAGCTAGCGACATGCAGCTGCCAAAACCATTTCTCGGTGCGCTTGGAGGAGCGTTTATTTCTCTCCAGCTGCTGTTTCTCGCGAACATGTGCTATCTGTATGGTACCGCCTATCATGACTCGATTCGATTCAGTACTATGAAGCTTTTGTTTGTGGATTATGATCAGGACGTGATAGGCCAGTCCGTCATGACAGCATACGACCAAATGAAAGGCCCATCATTTCCGACCGTCCAGCGACATTCCCTAATCGAATACCCCACGGAGCAGGATGTGCGAAATGCCGTTTGCAGAGGTCATTACTGGGGTGCCATATATTCCAAAGCAAATGCTTCCTCCCGCCTAGCCATGGCACTGTCTTCCTCAGAAGCCGCTAGGGTGTACAATAACTCTCAGGCCCTGACTTATATCTGGAATGGGGCTAAATACTCCGCCTATGCCCAAAGCGTGTATTCGATGCTGGCTCAGCTCGTCCAGGGCACCGCCAGCGTTTATGATCAAATGAATGGGACTACGATATTATCAACCACCATTGTTTCCGACCCATACATCGCCAAAACTGTGCTTGACCCTATCTCAAGCTCTTCAATTGACCTCCAGCCTATGGCTCAAGGAGTCCGATTCTACTATAATACTGTCTCTATGGTCATGCCCATCCTGCAACAATTCTTTTTTCTCATGGCGCTCAACGGTATCTCCGCGCAGCTTAAGATCTTCTCCAGCCTCTCGCTAAAGCAGAATATCGCCCTCCGGCTGATTATCTCCATTTGTTATACCTTCATTGCCTCCCTCTGTATGAGTGGCTACATCTGGGCATTCCGGGAGGATTGGAACGCCACGTCCGATCAATTTGGGTTGACATGGATGGCAATTTGGCTAGTCATGCACTTAAACTTCCTGATCATCGACGCTGCCACAGCATTCATTCCGATGCAGTTCATGTCCTTCTTCATGTTAACCTGGATCATCCTCAATGTCTCAAGTAGTATCGGCCCTTTTGAGCTCTCCCCAGGGTTCTACCGCTTGGGCTATGTTTTTCCTGCCCACGAGCTCTATGAAATCCTGCTTCAGATTTGGACCGATGGCTGTAACCCGCACTTGTACAGAGCCCTCCCCATTCTATTGTCTGAGTGGGTTGTTGCTCTCGGCCTTTCTCTTCTTGGAATGAGAAAGCGCACCAAGCCAGCAGCCCCTGTCCAGGCGATGAGCCAAACAGTGAAGGAGGATATGGCCTGATTGATGGTCGTTCTTCTTTTCCTTTATTCTTCTCTTGTTTTCATTCCCCCGTTCCAGTCCATTGCTATAGAAAAGATATGTAGTTATGCCTTTGTTTGTGTCCAGTTTAGGACGGATACAGATGCATCCTAGTTGCCCTAATCGAATCTTGTGCATTTGCTAGCTTAATGTACGAAATGCGTTGTCCTCTATATATATGCAATACTCATACATACATCAACAAAATTTCTAATCCTGTTTGATTGAGATTTGGAAGTGTCCAGTAAATCGAGAGTACTTCGGTTAATGAAAGATTCCTTTATACAAGAGTATAAGGTGCAGGTTTCTACCATCTCCAGTCTCAGGCTGCTTTATAGGGTACTACTAAGTAATTCTGATACTTTCATACGAGGATTGGAAGGACAAGTTTTGAGTTTAATAATATTTTATTCATGAATCATGATTATGTGCAAGGCATCAAACCATGTCTAAAATCATAAGAGATTAAAAAAAAAAAAAGGCAAGCAAGAACACCGGCGCCTCTATCAACCAACCGCGCTTAAACAGGCAAAAGGACCAAAAAAAAGGATCATCATCATAAACAAGAGGTATCAATGGGAGCGTGAATCAAAGGAGCTGACTTAAGGAAAAACATTCGCAGAATGTTTACCACCAGTCACCCTGGTCCTTCATGGCAGCAGCAACCTTGGTGAAGCCAGCAATGTTGCTACCGGTGACGAGGGAAGGAAGGACGCCCTCAGAAGGAGTAGCGTACTCGATAGCAGTCTCGAGACCGTTCTTGAAGCAGTCCTCCATGATACCCTTGAGGCGAGCATCGACCTCCTCGGAGGTCCAGTTGATGCGAGCGGAGTTCTGGGCCATCTCGAGACCGGAGACGGCGACACCACCGGCGTTGGCGGCCTTACCAGGGGCGTACCAGATGGCGGCAGCACCCTTGTTGGCCTCACGGTGGGCCTCGAAGATGTCGATGGCATCCTGGGTGGAGCCCATGTTGGAACCTTCGGCGATGAACTTGCAGCCAGCGTCAATGAGAGCCTGGGCTTCCTCGCCAGAGACTTCGTTCTGGGTAGCGGAGGGAAGAGCGACGTCGACCTTGCCGACGTGGGTCCAGGGACGGGCACCGGGGATGTACTTGAACTTGGTGGCGAAGGCCTCAGTGTTGGCAATCTCGGAGATCTGCTTGCGGTCGACCTTGATCTGGGCGATGGTGTTGATCTCCTCAGGGGTGAAGCTGCCCTCACCGTTGACGATCAGGGAACCCTTGCTGTCGGAGAGGGAGACGACGGAACCGCCAAGCTCGATGACCTTAAGAGCGGCGTACTGGGCGACGTTACCGGAACCAGAGATGGCGACGCGCTTGCCAGTGAAAGACTCCTTGCCGTCGGTAGCGTGCTTGATCATGTGCTCAACGTAGTAGACAACACCATAGCCAGTGGCCTCGGGACGGATCAGAGAACCACCCCAGCTGCCACCCTTACCGGTGAGAACACCCTCCCACTGGTTGCGGATCTTGCGGTACTGGCCGAAGAGGAAACCGACCTCACGGCCGGTGACACCGATGTCACCAGCGGGGACGTCAGTGTCGGCACCGATGTGCTTGCAGAGCTCGGTCATGAAGGAAACACAGAAGCGGCGGATTTCGTTGTCGGACTTGCCCTTGGGGTCGAAGTCGGAACCACCCTTACCACCACCCATGTTCAGGCCGGTCAGAGCATTCTTGAAGATCTGCTCGAAACCCAAGAACTTAAGGATAGAAAGGTTGACGGAGGGGTGGAAACGAAGACCACCCTTGTAGGGACCGAGAGCGGAGTTGAACTGGACACGGAAACCACGGTTCACCTGGACCTGGTGGTTGTCATCCTCCCAGACGACGCGGAACTGGATGACACGCTCGGGGACGGAGACAACGGCGAGAGCCTTGCGGTACTCAGGGTTCTTCTGGAAGAGAGTGGAGTTCTCCAGGGTAGAGGCAAGCTCTGGAAAATTTTTGTTAGACACAATCCGACAAAGATCTTATCAATAGATCAAGGAAGGATAGTTTTCAAGAATACATACCCTTGTAGGCCTGCTCGAACTCGGGCTCAATGGGAAGGTTGGACATCTTGAATTTGCTTTGGGTCTCTTTTGAGAAAATATGTGAAGGTGAGAGTGAGGGGCTTATCAGATATCGATAAGAAGCCGGTGGCAAAGTGTCAATTGACCGGAGTCAAGACGAGTTAAGGATATTTAAAAGGATAAGAGAGAGAGAGAGAGAGAGAGAGAGAGAGAGAGAGATGTCTGGAGCAGTGAAGGAAAAAAGAAGAGATTGAGGCGAGAGATGAAGGGAATTTATGTCCGGGCAAATGTCAGCGGAGGGCGGCGAGCACTGAGCCGGAGTCGGACGAGAAAGAGGGTGGGAATGGCCGACGGGGGAGGACAGTAGGAGTGGAGGTGGGCCATTCGAGTCGATGATTCGTTGAATGAATTAAGGTAGGGGACTAGGCGGCTAAGCGGAAGGCCGGCACCACAGCGCTGGTTAACGTCCGAACTTCGGGTGTGTTATTCGATACTTTAAGGTCATCATAATCTGCCCGTTATCTATCGGCGGAAACCCGCCCCCCGCCAGTCCGCTTTTGGTTCCGGGAAATCCTCGTGGCTCGAAATTTCTTAGATGATTCTTTTATGGAACGATATCAGGAGGAGAGTCGGGCATCAATACCATGTAGTATACTCAGAATACGTCTCTTTCTATCCCCTAGGGCCATTAACACCTGGAGTCCTCATGGTTGAATCTCAATTGGGTACATTGTACGGAATACTGTTATGTTCATTGCCAAGACCGGCGAATCCTCCAGTCCCGATCCAAAGTGCCGGCTCACGTGTGTCCCGCTAATCCTCATTCGACCGGCGTCCCTGGGGCCCCACAGGCTCCTCCCTCGAATCTCTTATCTGATCATTTTACTCACTACCTTATCAGTGAATACTAACCGGTTGCAGTATCTGACCACATTCACTTCCTCCCCCCTCAACGCTCAGACCAATCGGTCGGGGGTGCATGGACTACAAACCGATCCCTCCTCTCTGATATGTTAAAAAGATTCCTCCGAAAAAAGGATGAATAAGTATTTCCTCTCGCTAAAGGCGGGACGTGCTACACCGTACGCTCCAATTTAGTTTAACGTGGGATGAGGGTCATGCGACCCCCCGATCCTGTCCAACAAAGACGGGGTTCACTCACGGTAAAGGGAGATTATCTGTCTACGGAATAATTTGAAAGCGGGTTTGTTGTGTTGTGTTGTGTTGTTAACTTAACAAGTGTCCTGCTTTGCCCGACTGCACTTCTCTCGGCACGGAGCGCGGCCCTCCGCCTCCATACCGGATACGGAAATCCGAGTCGGGTTGGACCAATACAACTTCAAGGTTACAACGTCGGCCGATTCAAATAGAAGGCCACTTTGCGAGTTAGCCAAATCCCACGGGACAATTGTTAATTGTTAATCAAAGTGTTGGGCCAGGATATCCTGGAAGCGCATCGTTTATATGAGAACTACGGTGCAGTATCTGGGTATGATTCTGCCCACAAGCTACACTCTGTATAGAATGGACTCGGTCGAAGACTCAGTTCGAACAGCATGTTGACATTTCCCTGTTCTTTGTCTGAAACAACCATCTGTACACCGAAAATGTCTTCAGATGCAGAGAGCATCGTGTTTAGTTCTAATGCGGAGTAATTGGCGGGGTGAGCCCGAGCCCGTCCTGACTCGATGATTCATGAGTCGTTGAGTATACGTCTCCCTCGCATATCATATTCAGTAATATCATTACCTCATGTCCACCCCAGGCTTGATAAGACACTAGCGCGTCGTACATACTTTCAACCCCGGGGCCGACTCAAAGTCTCAAACCAAGTCAAACGAGGCTGTGTACCCACACCTGCCATCTTAGTGGAAGATCGTCAGCCAAGCTCTCGGCTAATGCATCTCAATTATGGTTTGGGGAGCGATCAGGAATGCTGAATCCACGAATAGATTTGCCGGCAATAGATGATTATGCGAAGTCTATCCGTCATAAATAAGGTCTGATAACCACTCTGATAACCGCTCCGATAACGGCGTCCTTTTCCACACCCCCCCCCTCTCATTGATATCTGTCCTGTTGTGAACAACACTACGTATGCATTTGATGACTTTATACCTAGCCAAGAAGAATTTATGTGTGACCATCTCAGCACAGTGACACAAATCGCCTCACTACGCTGTCGGACATTTTTTATTGGTCGCTTTCACATTGCTTGTTACCAGAATTTTGGTATGAAGCCTTTGTTTTCTCTTTAAACACAAATTCGTTCTTTAATCCCCTAGTGACTACCTACCTATATCGCAACAACTTTGTACAAAAAGCGAGAACCGGTTGAATGGACAACAACACAAACTTATTCGTCCTTTAACTTAAGTAATTCCAAAGTTTTTGTCCAAAGCTTTGCTTCACCATCCGGGTTGTACGCCCACGTAGCATAGCCTGGCCCGTGTCGCTTGGTCGGGTCAGCAGGTGATGCGATTTGACAGTTATCCAGATATTTTCCTCCGGTGCCTTCCAGCTCCCTCGCCACGGCACCCCAGACGCTGGTCGCGGCTCCCTGTTCAGGACTCTTCCAGTACTTCTTGAGCCAGTCATCAGCATCCCACGCGGATTTCTGTTCATCCGAAACATGGCGAAGGAGCTCAGTGGCGATCGCACCAGGGTGCAGACTAAAGGCATGAAGACCCTTTGAGCCATAGCGTCTCTCGATTTCATTAGCTGTCCAGATGTTTGCTGTCTTGCTTTGACCATAAGCTTTCCACGGTTCATATTCACCTTCAAAAGTGATGTTATCGAAATGAACCGATGAAACCCTGTGGGCGCTGGAAGCTACCACGACCACTCGGGACTGGAAACTAGAGGTTGAGGAAGAGAGCAACAGCGGCTTGAGCAGGTAGAAGAGCAGGAAATGAGCCAGATGATTTGTGCCAAACTGCATTTCGAACCCATCGGCTGTCCGACCTTCGGGGCATGCCATCACGCCGGCATTTTCAATCAGAATGTTCAGAGTACTCTCTATAGATTTGAATTCTTCCGCGCATGCGCGGACGGTTGCCAAGGAATTTAAATCTAAGTGGAGAAGATGGACTCGCGGACTATCGACGATGTTGCCCAATGCGGTCTTGGCCTTTCCTAGGTCCCGGGCTGTCAGGTATAGTGTTGCTCCCGTGTGGAAGAGGGCCTTGGCGGTCTCGATACCGAGCCCGGATGAACAGCCTGTGATCATGATCACCTTGTCGGTGAGATCATTTACTCGGTTCTCGTCCTGGACAATTTGTAATGCGGTAGGTCGTGCATCGCCAGGTCCCCCGAGGGACTTGTGGGCTTTGGCATATATTGATTCTGTAGAGGACATTCTCGAATATATATATTCTGGAATTGAGTTCAAGTGTTTGCTAGGTTGCGTTAACTAGCAGAAGCTGAATTGGCCATATATCCTAGCAACACCAGCTAAATTTATATGGCAATGCTTTTCTTCTAGACCATTCACTAAGACTCAAGTTATACTGACTAAAATTCTATCATCCCTTATTCACAAGCTATTTACGATAAAGCCGATGGTTACTCTGCCAAATGTGGAGCTCTCGGGAATACAGCTTATACACCTATAAGCAGTCCGTCGGCAACAAACATCATCTGATTATGAACCCTTCTTAACTCCATAATGTCCTCTCCTAGTAATCACTTCGAATATACCCTATGTCCGCTCAAACTCCGGAGAGAGTGTAATTCCTCATCAGGAGATAATCACAGCCTTTAATTCCTTCGGCCGACGGCATGCCGATCATCTCAAAATTTCGGCCGAAGACAGGACGCTAAATCGGATTACACTCTATTCCTAGGACCAAACGAGCCAATGACAAGGGCCAGCAACCCCTGAGAATAATTCCGTCTCCCGAAATAGTTTAAGTTCCGCCGAAGTATTTCGGACTTTGGATACGTCATGATTATAGCTGTTACGTTTCATCGTTCATGTGGTTCGACCTGAACGAAGTTTTATAAATACCCCTATACACAGTGTACGAAGGGACTCTCCTTCAACAGCAGCTTTATCATTACAGATCTTATTTCAATCTGAACTTCTTTCCCGGAGACTAATTCCAAATCAAGTCTATCCGATTTCCAATCGCCGATCTCCCAACAACATGTCATCCCCGACGGAGGTCCTTTTCCCATCCTTCCACCTGAAGATTTGCGGTGAACTCCACGCACCAGTAGATGGTTCCCCAGACCGCAAAGGCGCCGCCGTGGTAGTCAGCCACCCGATGACCGGTGTGAAAGAGCAAACCTCAACCGACTACGCCAAAGCCCTGGCTAAGGCCGGCTTCTACGCCCTCACCTTCGACGCCGGCTACCAAGGCGAAAGCACCGGCGAGCCCCGAGGCCTCGAAGACCCCCACCAGCGCGTTGAAGACATCAAGGCAGCCGTCAGCTACCTGACAACACTAAAGGATCAGGTGGACGCATCGCGGATCGGAGTGCTGGGCATCTGCGCCTCGGGCGGCTACACTTCGTACGCCGCTCAGTCTGACTCTCGCATCCGTGCTCTGGCCACTGTCAGCGCTGCTTGCGTCGGTCGCATGACACGCAACGGAGGCGTGCATGAACACAACAAGGAGAATGCCGAGGCTATCACCGGTGCCCTTCAGTATGCCGGCCAGTGGCGGACCAACGTCGCCAGCGGTGCTCCCAGCGAGGCCCCCGCCATGTTCGATGCGACGAATGTGCCGGACGATGCGGATCCATTCTTCAAGGACGCTGCTGCGTACTATGGAACGGACAGGGGGAAACATGAGCGCTCGACTCAGAAAGTGCCCCCCGTCAGCTACGATCTTATGATTCCCTATGACTCGTTCAACTTCCAGCACCTCATCTCTCCCAGACCGCTATTGATGATCGCCGGTAGTGAGGCGCAGACGCTTCACTACAGTAGGACGGCAGTGGAGATTGCGAAGGAGCCCAAGGAATTGTTCGTTGTGAAGGGCAAAAACCATTTCGACATCTATGATGATCTGAATGAGTCTGGTCCTAAGCTGGTTGATTTCTTTGGAAAGAACCTTCAATAGACTTACCAACTGAGATGATTACGCGTGTGAATGATGCATATGGTTCAATTAACTTGTATATAGTTAACTAAGAAATAAAAAGGTTAGACTGCATCGCAATACGATTAATAACATGAAATAGGTGACGCCAGAAAGAAACCATGTACCCTTTTCTTTTGAAGCTCAGACATTCAAGAAGTACACCGAAACCAGCATAGGGGTGATTTGGAGTCCTGGTCAGTGATCACAGTGCATCGGCTGCCATACCTACAGTGTTGCTGCAGATTAGGACGGCGATGATCGAGTAAAGCATGTCTTGGGCGAAAGCAGTGTGCCTTAGACCCTCAACAACATACCCCCCGGCTGGTGCAAGGGCATTGGAAGTATTTTAGGGAGAAAACAAATGTATTTCCACTTGGAACCTTTGAATGCCTAAGGTAACGATTGCGGACACGGTAAAGTAACGAGGCATTAAAGCCGAACACGTTTTAATGAGGAAGGTTATATACGAGAAAAATCCACCAACAGCCTACCTGTACAGCCTTGGTAACAGCAGATCCCTAGCTTCAGCATGCCCCGAGACTCTCCCGCACTCTCGACAGCCCCATCGCGACGACACGGATGTGCCGTATCCGTATCGGATTTGCCGCACCAAAGGGGTAGACCTTGATTCTGAAGTTCAGAAATTGGCAGGATCCATGGGTTCTGATTGATTGGATGCCTACAGAATTCCCCATAGGTTTCAGCGCGCAGTGATAGCCCTTGCATATTGCGGTAGGGCCATCACAGAGACCCGCGACGCTACCCGTATGCAAGCGGCGAGCCATTTGAAGGTACCGTCAGTTAAAATCAAACTTTGGGGGTTCTATAACTCTGGTGGGACTATTGTCATGTGGCGCACTTTCGGCCGAAGGGAGGGTCGGCCTGAGGACTGATCAGTGAGGCTGCTGAGTTTAGGCACCCATCTTGATGCTTTATTTGGTGGTGGGGAAGGGGACAATGATAGGTAATTCTTCTCCATAATGAAAAGGAAAAAGGAGAAAAGAAAAGAAGAGAAAAACAGGTTGAAATGCGGGTGGGATTATCACCAGTCTCTCGGAGTTGAGATTCATACTGGGTTATACTTTTGTCTGACATTTCTTTTGAAGGAATAGTTGGGCTGCGTGACTACAATTGGATATGACAGACATTCGACGCCAAGATATGTGAACAAGATCACCATCACTGATCTGCAGATTTCCACATGGTCTGGATAAATAGGTCTTGGTGGCCAAGGATCTCAAAGAGAGTGGGTCTTCGAATGACCTCCTGACACGGAAATATTCTTGGGGCCCATGGCTTAAACCGCTCACTGTCGATACGATCTACCAGGAATCGATGTCCCCAGCTCAGAATAAGGTGGGAATTACAAGTTCTATTGTTGTTGTTTTAATCAGTCCTCCGCTGAGAATAACAGAGATGCAGCAAGAGGATGAGAAAGAACCAACGATCCTCAGGGCCTAGTAGTGTCAATGACGATATAAGTTAGTAGGTCAGTAACGTGCCGCCGCCCTCTTCACGGTGTTTCAGAAGAAACACACGTCGCCGAAACACATGGTTAGGACAATTTTTCCCTGAAAAAACAAAAAAAAAAGAAAAAAAGAAAGGAAATGGAAATGGAAAGGGAGAGAAGCCCGGGAAGGGAACTGTTCTTCAAAGGCCGAGGCCGGGATTCAAACTACGGAGTAGACTAATGATAGCCTTGCCAATGCTGGCTAGTCTACGGAGTACTAAAAATGTATCCACACTGTCGTTGACATAACTATAATTCAAGGAAAAGAACGAGAGACATTCCCCATTGCAAGGACATGATACCGTCGTGGAGATGTGTGTGTGTGTGACCTAAAAGAGATGATCAGATATGGACTATTGAGTTGACACCTCCTATTCCTTGCCCTATACCGGCTGGATTCGGCCAGGAAGTAAGACCTCATGGCCATTTTGGAATAAGCCATATGCCCAATCATCCGGATAATGTTAAGCGCATCCCGAGTTCTCCACTTGGACTTTACTTAGTGCTCACTCATTTGGTATTCCTTGCTTTGAGTTCCGTATAGGATCTTGGTCTCCTGATACCCAATCGCAACCCTTACCACGGTTATTCACTGACATTCTCATAAGGCTCCGCTTGCACTGTACTTGTTCCTAATTGAGGTCCCTGCATTAGCAGTGGAGCCATGTTCGGGTGAGAAAATAAGACGTCATTGAAGCTACCCCACAGCTCAAGTCGAGAAAGTCGACCGGTATATTGATTCGGGAACAGTATGTTCTTTGGACAAAGCAAAGCAGGATTCTGTATCAGAAATTGTTTCACCGCCTGAAGACGCCCACAGTCTTCACTATCCAGGTAAAAAGATGCGAGGCATTTGCATTCTGAAAGGAATACTGGAGAGGTCCGTCCGAGACAAGGAGACAACAAAGGGAGCAGGCATTGACCTACAAACTGTTTATTCTTTACCAAAATAGGCTCTGTGGCAATTTGTGGCTAATGCACTCTAGTGGCAATGGTGGCTGGGGGGAGGCGGCATGCTCTATGCACACTCTCACGTATACGCTGTACGTACATCTACCACGCCACAGTGGCAAAATCTGTGAGGCTGAGCGCAGATCGCTGTGGCTTCCGCGGCATCCGAAGATTGGACACAAGGAGGGTGTGTTTATACCGACTCAATATTGAGTGCTCACATAGTTTAGAACTAGCACCTTGCTTAATCGCACTATACCTTGTGATATCTTCATAGTTAGGCATCAACTTATCGATTGGCCCACTGGCCTATAGGAGGTGTGTATGTATACTAGTATACAGATCGTCTTTGTATGTATCAGCATGTAATTTTGCAATTAGCAGATAATAACTTAGTTATAGCTCGATCTATCTATCGAAATCAATATGGTGTCTACCTAGTTGAACAACCTATAATCAGAGGCCGCCTTATCCCTCACCTTTAAAGGAGAATAGTCCCGTCTGTACTAGTAGTGTGGCGAACTTCACCCAGTACCCCTTACGACTGTCAGTCCATCAATTAAGCTAGAAAGAGTAGTACGCATGGGTCTCGTAAACGTGCATTTGCACCTTATGTGAGTGAATTCCTGGAAATGCCTTCGGGATCATCCCTCGGCGTTAAGTCATTAAGATGTGCCGCTCTTATCCTGCATATGATGGGGCTGTAGGACTTGGCGTTTATAGCGCGAAGCACTGGTCCATTGGTCTTATACTTGACCTAGTATCCTTGTGCTGAGATTATTTCTCCAGATAGATCAACGACTACATTACTTGTGAAAATGTGGTTAGAAACAGAATAAAGAGCGAGATTAAAAAAAAAAAATAAATAAATAAAAAAATTGGAGACAGTTGACTTCATTCCAGTGATGAACTGGCACAGCTAACGGTGATCTCGCATACTACAGCACACCGCTATGCAGTATAGCCACTGCATCAACGTAAGTTTTAAACTATAGACCTCAACCACTCATGATATTTGGTCTCGAAGATGTTGTTGGGAAATTGTTGTCAGTCGAATCGTCCATTAATATCAAGACACAACAGTCCCTACGGAGATCAACCTAAGGGGCCATGGCCGAGGGTGCAGAACACGGGCGGGATACATCATTTATGTCTGCATCACATTCCACAACCACCATTGTATCTATCAGATTCTGCCAGGGGTGATGTATTCCCTATTTGCGTCAAAAATATGCCGTCTCAACAGCACGTCACGGTAGTGGAAACTCGCTTGTTGTTGCTCACCGCTCATCCTTCCATTCTCTACAACATCACTGGATGTATACAATGCATGGCTATGCAGTGATGGTGCCAATTCACGTCAGCTTCTGGCTCGAGTGGAGTGTCTGGAGCGAACCCTTGTTTTTCTGGGTCACCATTGCTTTTTCTAGGGACGTATCTGCTTGCGTGATCTACGATGACTGGACAGGAGATAGTAATGACTGGGAGGTGAAACTAGCTAGATATCAACTGTGACACCATCCATGCTATCCAGCAACAGCATTTGCATACTAGTACTAATGCAGTAGACACCTGATATTGCAAGGTGTGGATCTGACGAAGGCCCAAAATCTCCCGTCTGCATCAACGATGTGGCAAATCCCCTGGACCCCAGCCGTTCAGCCGATATCATATGCAAAGTTTTGATTAAGAACTGAGTTTAATAAAAAGAAATAAAGAACGAGACAAAAAAACCCTTTTTGACATCATTTCAGCTTCTTACCTAATATCATAAGCATTTTGGTGTCGGGAAACTTGCGGCTGAATGATAGGAACAATTACCTAAGTTTTCTTCCTCACGTTACATTACAATACCGATTAGGTACGTACCAATAGAGCGTGCCTACGAATTACCTCAATGTATGACTTTATTTCGTACATACATGCCTGCAGTGCATAACGTAAGATTCAGTGAAGTCAGGGTTGCTACTGAGTCTACTTGTGATATTCGACTTTGCATCTTTATTGTGAGTCAACTGAGTCATAGCTTACACTACTACTTAAACAATCACCAGCATACCCAATACTGCTATATTGTCGTAGCTGTCTAGCGTCACCTGAACCCTGAGGGCAGAGGAATAAGCTAGACTTACAGATGCAGATGCGAGCGTCACCAGTTGAAGTAACATCCTGCCCAACTACGAGCCTATCCCTAGGGAAATTTAGAGATAATTACCCAGGTACAGCCCGGAATACTGTGTGACAACCCTAAAGTAAAAATAGCAATGAAAAAGAAAAAGCATTGGTTCGTAATGGCTCTCCCTTTTCCCCTTTACTAGTTTCGTACGAGAGGACATGTACAGTATATACATCCATACACGGAAGACGATCCTAAGGCAGGGTCTGATGGTCGTTGCATGTAGACCCTGTACCATATCCTGTACAACCCCATAGCTCTGTTGCTAGCAGCATAAACTATAAAGTGGCTGTTACACAACATCGGTCTATATAAATAAGTACAAAGCATTGACCTCAACTACTAGTAGACCAAGGTGGTGAGAGGTACTAGGAAGAGTAGGAGGTATGTCACCGTATTGTCACAATCGCGAGGAGACAATTATTGATGTAAATTGCAACCATGGTACAGGATGGGGTTCACTACTAGGGAAGAAAGATTTCTGCAGTTAGTCTGGAGTGGATCTGATTCGGCGATCGTGTATCTCAGGCTTGATGGGAAGTCCGTCCCCTCTTTTTTTTTTTTTTTTTTTTTCCCTTCTTCCTATTGATGTTAAGGGTTGACTCCGTAAGTAGGTCATCCCGCTTTTAATTCTCGTAAAGCGTCAGACCGATCTGCAGTTTAAACTAAACTAGACATACGTAAGATGAAAAATGAAAACAAACATACATAGAAAGTGATATTGTCCATTTAATTCATGTAATTTAAATCTTGAATCATAGGATGGTTATGAGGATCAAAGGAAAGTTCAGAACAAACAATATAGATTTCTTTCCTAACCCAGCTCTAAGCCACAACTCTCTAAGTATGGGAGGTATGCAGCTGCACGGATATCTCGAATCTAGGCGTATGGCCCTATGATCCATTTTCCCGGATCCACTACCCAAGAAGAGGACACGCGATGACCATGGCTTTTGTCTTTTTCTTTTTTCTTCTTTTTCGCCATCCGCTAAGGGACGGGGTAAGTACCCTCCCTTTCCTGCATCGATCTGTATTGTAGCCTATTTTCATCTTTGTGTTCTTATTTTTTCCTTTTTCGTTTCTTACCAGGTGTATTTTTCAATTTTATTTCCCTATCTCTTTTCCTCCTTCCCTCTTTATTTTTTTTTTTTTCGTTTCGAATCTTGTCTAATAGTTTCTCGAAGGAAATTTTCAAGTAAAAGAATAAAATTGAAAAATGAAAAAGTTTCTATTCGCTTTCATTATTGATTACATTGCATCGTTAACCTATTGATTATAATGATAATAATTTAACCCTCGAACTAAATAAGGTACCCCAACCGACGGAAAATGTCCCGGACAGACCAGATCTGGTGGGATGATGATTATTGGCAGTTACTTTATTACTGCACAATTAGCACTATTGGCTATTAAAAAATCACAAAAAAATAACCCAAGATCCAGAAAATTTATTTATATTTTTATTCGTTCCCAATCTATAGTCTGCCAACCGTTTCCAAACTCTCCAATTTCTTCTAAGAACCTGCCAACGTCTCCCAAGAGTTACTCCATCGGGCAGACCCGTTCTTGTTAGTCGCACCGAAATAATATACTACAAATCCACTTCAGTCCAGCTCCGCAGGCTGTCTCTTTTTTCTTACCCTCTCGGCCGTTTCTTGTCTCCCCTTTTCTCTTGCCTTTCTTCAGCTTTTTCTTTTTTCTCAAAAAAATTGATGTATGTCTCATGCGTCCCGTTTCATATTCTTCTCAAATGGGCCCTTCCTTCTCTAAAGAACTATATCTCCGTTGTCTGCCCGTTGTACTTCTCCCCTCCCCCTCCTCGGTCTGTTCCATTGTCATGAGCCGTGTCTGGCTTGCGCGTATGTAGATGGACCTTGTCTAGCAGATGTCTATGAACGAAGCTCATCCTGGAAGAGGACTGGCGTTTTCTATCAAAAACCTGTTCCAGTCCTCTCCATCTCCGTCCCCGTCTCGACGCAGGGTGTCTGTCTTGCTTCGTCGAGGCAGGAGTGTGTTTTCAAACAAGTAATTTCCCTCTCACCTGTTCCCACACTTGGTCAATTTCAAAATTGCTCTTGTTATCGGAGGAAATTGGCCCTTGCACATTTATATCATAAGTCTTGACCCGCCCCACGTACGAACACACGCGCGCACACACACTCACACACTAAAAGCTAGAGGGGCTAAAAAAGATAGCTTGACATTAAGGGGAAAAAGGATAGGGGCTAAGATTGCGCTTCCAACAGGAACCCTGAAAACCAGTCGAGTCGTTCGTCCGGGACCCAAATGAACTCGTCACCGCAATTCGATCCAACTGCGATGTTTGGACTTACTGGAGCCTCCCCCGGGGTGAACAATGATGGCTTCGATATCTTCCAATGGCACCCCCACTATCAGAATTGCCAGCGTTACTTCCTCGACCATGCACAACATAGTACCACCGTTCAGGCACTTTCAGCATTTCTGAATATCCGTCTCCCTTTTCAACGTCAACCGCACCCCGTGTTCAATTCTTCCACCGATCACACGCCAACGGCTAGTACCACGCCTGCGTCAATTTCCAATTCAAATCCTCCCCCGTCTGTCTCTTTGATCCCGTATATTCGTCGTCTTGTGGCTACGGGAATGGATTTTCCGGGTGTACTACATGGATTCTTTGGCGACGATTGGGGGTCTGGCATTGGATTTCTGCATGAACAAGAGCGTCGTAACTATCTTTTCGCCGCGAAGAGTGGTGGCTGGGCTTGTGTGAAGAAAGACTACGATATCTCTCCTTTAGAGACCATTCCTTTCTTGCGTCCTTTGCAAGGACCGTTGGATTCAGAGATTGAAGCGGCCGAGAGGAGCTGGAGTGAATGGCTTGCGATGGAAGATTGGATGGTTGGACCACGGGCGCCCGACATCCTTCGTGACTCCTCCTCGCAAATGTCGCGACCCCGGAGTTCGCGAGGTTGACTTTGATATGGCCCTTTTTCTTCATATCTATCTTTCCTTCCCTTTTTTTTTTTTGGATATCCAGCGCAGAGCGATACTACGGAGTTCTATGGAATCATCGATATAGCGATTCTTCACATCACGAGATGACGACCATACGACCATAAACTTTGAAGAGCGATAGGCTTCGTGGCCCTCCTGTGTAGGAGAAGGCCGGGACATTGAATGCCATGGGAACAGAATGGTACTGTTCTAGGAAATGCAATAATAAAATTATATATGCATACAAACACCTTCTAATGGTTTTAAGCTTTCTTTTCACTTTATCCTTCCGTTATCTGAAATGGGATACTTTTTCATTCTAATGGTAATGTCCGAATGCCCCTTAATTACGCCAGGGAGACGTGAACTCGCCGCTAGGACGGTCTCTTTCCGTTTTGGGGTGAATTCCGGCTACCTGGTCCTGGGCCATTATGTGGCATGCACTGGTTGCGGGAAATGCACCGAGTGGAAGTCCCCTAGATAGAAGAAATTGGGTAGAACTCAAAAAGGGAAAGACCGTATACAACTTAACCATCCATTAACTACACGGTGGTGGGTTAAAGTTTGTTGATGAGGCCCCACTAGTTTGTGCTGGCCATAAGTGGCAGGTTAAGACTCCGCCGACTTGTTCAATTCCTTGGTTTCTGGTGGGGAAGACATCAATTCGATCGTGTTTCAAGCTCACATAATCATTAGGGTTGGAAAACATGGGACGCAATGTGGTCGAGTCCCGCGTATTGCTTTCGGGGTGTAAATGTGTATGTGGCATAGGATTGAATTGCTGGCTCACGGGTTTTCCTTTCAAAGATCAAAAAGACCTCAATCTTTCTCAACCCTGTTTTCTGGAGAGTTCGACGGTGACCAGAATGTGTTTGTGGCGGGCTGAATGGCGGAGTCTAACAATTAGTCTACGGGCCATTGAGCGTTCGTGGTCGGGGCTCACGGGAGGGATTCCAAACGCCTAGCTTAGTCGGGAGCCTATCTCCAGGTACCCGGGATTTGATCGTTAATGCGGCACTATGGATCGCTTCCTTTTTCAGGGGCCTAGTAGTTAGTACCCCTATCTCAGGAGGCACTCCGGGTGTACTCTCTACAGTCCGACATGCTTAGTCCCAGTACTCGTATACTGTACAATGGACAAATCTATTTAATTTTTGAGACTTTATCATTCGATATGATGAAGTCCCGATTACAAATACGGAGTGACTGTGCCTCCCCACTTGACCCACATGGTCAGTCAAGGACTTTTCGATGTGAATTGAGCTGGCCCGTTGGGTCGATTCTAACGAGTCAGACTTTGCAATCCCACGCTGTTGTTGGCTCCCCTGCATTATGGGAGCGGTATATGTTCGGACCCCGGCCTGGCATCGCTTTCTAGAAATCTAGGTCCATCTTTACATCATAACCTCTGGAGTACTAAGTATATATAGAACACTCCTTTTACCTCCGTACTAGCACCACTACCTGTATGGGGTACTACCTTTGATGAGTTCTAGTTCTGGGCTATGATTTGTCACGGGTGTTTGGTCACTCCTACTTAGATCGACCAATAATTCAGATCGTACGGCAAGTCTCCGATAACTTCACTCTACTCGAGTTGGTTTGATTCGTACTAGAGCCCCCTTTTCCTTCTACTCCTCTTTTTCTCCTCTAGCTATGTATCAGACCACTGTAATTGACGTATGCTGTAGCCTCGGGATACGACGTCGGGGCTTGCAAGTACTCAACGTAGTTTGTTCAGAGCGATCTGTATTATTCTGGATATAGTAGTACTACGGATTACCCCTAGCCCTAATTGGCCAGCGTTGATCAATTCCGACAGGTAACCGCTCCACAAACGGAGCCCTGAGATGGATACAAAATTATGGAGTACATAAGATACTTACATATGAGTCGCATGGTTCGGAGAATTAATTTTCGTTGCGCGTCAACTGACTGATCTATCAGTTGGCCCAACGGCTACTTTATTCCAACATGGCAGTAATACGCGAAGAACCTTAAAGTTTTGGTTTATATGTGAGAGAAAGCCATGAGAAATTTATATGCTACTGCAGGATAACCAGGTGCACCATTAAGCGTTATTTTAGAGGGTATGGTAAATACATAGTGTGTTTTTATCGTCCGAGAACTCGACGTAATACCCGTGATATACCCGTATATTCATGGTACCTATACCTGACACATATTCTGGGTGACCGACCTTAGGACTATACTTTATTTTGAATACTGATCTTGTCTCCAATTTAAACCGCCAACCCTTTAGGAGACATCTGGAGTGCATAATCCATACATTGCCGATTCGGACATAATTGGATACAGAGTCCTCGGCATATCGGCCTTGTTTTTGCCTTAGGATAATGGCCCTACTTCGCTACCAAAAGAAGCCCTTTTACAGTACCTCCATTGCAAAACATTCACCCACTTGCAAACCCGCAAACCCCTGTCGGCAACTACAGGAAATTTTCATTACGTTCCACAACCTGAAGATCGTTCGTTTATCGGGTGGAGAGATCGACAAGGAAATGAGACAGATACACTGTGGACACAAGATCTACTTGCCTTTTTTAGTTCTGAAGACCGCAGTCTCATACCCGGGCTTTCCTTCGTTATGGCTATTTTAGGACGTTCTACTTTCTTCTTTGGCTCCTCCAGGAGGAGCAAGCGGTATACCCTCCGATAATTACCTTTTTGAGCGAAACCGTTGTAGTTGTTTCCATGGTCTGAACGATTTCTCAATCGGCTGTTGTGATTTTGGTATGAACCAGGTTGTGCGATCTCGGCCTTAAGGCGAGGTCTCTACGTGGGGTTCCGGTGAAACGGATATCGGCTGGGTTGCTTTACCTAAGAGGGGCGCTGAATTGGTTCCGATGGTGAAGTTGGATGCTTTGTGGAGGTTTTGTTTTTCGCTTCGTAAGGCTGTATTGGAAGTTGTGTCAATGTAGTATTTTTTTTTGTGTTTTTTTTCTACCGAGGTATAGTACCAAAATAATAACTTAGTGCTCCATAGACCTATCTAGAATCTAGATTGCCAGGAAACAATGGCAGCAGAAGCAAAAGCCTGCAATTGGCTTTGTCTACTGTGGGGTGATGGGCTTCAACTACTGCGAGACAATGCTTGCACCAGATGGTGATCTATAGAGCAAATACTTTGCGGGCCCGACTTGTTCTTGACAGTATGATATCGTCAAAACAAAATAATATGATGTCAAGGGTCTAAAATCATTATTATGGCTGTTTGAAAAGTCTCTACAGCGCGCTTTACCATAACAAGAGAGTAGTCATGTGATTGATTACATAAAATCACGTGGCTCACGCCTTTGACGTCTCCAAACAATGCTCGTGTTTGTTGATGCTTGAAGCTTCAGTATGCGACCTGAGCAAAATGCTTAAGCATTGGCACCAGGACTGTGGAGGTGGAAATATTCATTAGACAGGCGACTCTGTGTGTCTGATATGATCCGCCTGAGGTCTGCGAGGGAAGACGAAAAATTATCGGGAACATGACGTCCTCCGAACAATGGGGGGCATTCCTCCATCAATGTCTCATGCGTCGGATAGATGCCGCCGAGTTCAAGACTCTATCGAAAATACTATTTCGGAGATGCCCTATCGCTGAGGGTACTCTCCTTGACGTATTGCTGGAAATACGCCTGGCAACCGGAATCAAATGGGATCCGCTTCTCCCCCTTTACATAGACTGTCTCTGCAAGATGGGCAAGGTCCAGACCTCCACGGTACTGACTTCACTTTTGAAATACTCATCTATACATGACAAGCCACAATCTCCTGGCTCTGAAACTGTTCAGAACAGGAAGGCCCTAAAGTGCTATACCTTGATGACGGATATCAGAGTTATACAGGATGCTATGCTCTCCGTCTCCACCGGTAGCACTCCAAAGTCACTTGCCGAAGCTGTCAGCATTTTTTCAGCTATTATAGACTGGATTCAGGCCATCGTAGCCTGGCATAATAATCATATAGATCCCAGTCAACAGTCAGGCGGGTTGATGAGCTCCCCAGATGCGGTGTCGTTGTTCGAGTCGCTAGGAATCCTTCTTACAGCTCTGTCCGGGACTGGAAAGGGGATTGAGGTCCTTTCTAGCGACTCCCACGAAGGTAACCCAATTCTTCTTTTGTTGTTCAAGGTGCATGTGAGCGTATGTGCTGACGTCTAGTAGCGCTAAAGGTCAAATTGGGACAGGCTCTTTCAGCATATCTTCCGCTTTGTATGGAAGTTTCGCTTCCGCTTCGCAATAGATTGGACAGCTTACAGAAAGGATTCAATCTGTATGGAGAGCCGCCAAACAAGTCATTGCAGTCTATGATGGACAATGTGAATGTGAATGCACTTCAATTCGAGGCATCTGTTATGGATGGGCCTGTCATAAATTCGAGAGCTGGTCTCTACATATATATAAATGCAATGGTATTTCCCATCACAAGCATCATTGTTTGCTTCCAATGCTGACTCACTAGCTTGTGGGCCGTCCTTTGGTAGACGACAGCATGTTACTCAACTATCTCACTAATCGATATGGGGTAAGTGACGGAATGCGCTATTGCCTTGACTGTTCTAGTTCAATGTATCTAACATCAATAGGGACACTATGACGTGCTGGTTGAAGAGGTTATAACTGCTACATTTGATGTTCTGTCGAACGCTTTGTATCGCAACGAATCTAGTCGAACAATGTTCTTGTTCCGTTCATTCTTGGTAAACAAGCTTCCATCCTTTTTCGCAGCCATGTTGGCAGCATCAATGGTCTCACTGCCAATGGAAATGTGCATCAGCCACGCTCTGAGCCGTCTGGACCCAAATACGTTCCCATCTTTCTCTCAGATGTTCGCAATGCAAGGCAGTACCGTCCTGTCCGAAGTGCGACCGGAGTTCCTATTCTCCTGTGCCTCACATAAATTGATCCCTGAGTCCAGCATTGAGCGCCTGTTAGGTGAAAATCCTATGCAAACGCCCCCTGTTGGGTATAACAAAGACGACCTCGTGTCGCAAATCAATACCAACCAGGAACGTGCAGAGCAATTGGTCAGCGAACTTGAGTCCACAGAAGGCAATGCGGGCGCTATTGTCGCGGCCATCACAGAGGTATGTTTCTCGAACTTGAGTTACTGGACACATAGTTAACACGAGTGCAGGTTATGCATAACCTTTGCAATCAGAAAGAGACAATGACCTTAAAAAGTATTTGCAATTCGCTTTCAAGGCGCCCTCAGGCTCTTGATGTGATTCTCTTATTCCGTAGTACAAAGCAGGTACTGCAACCACTTTGCACTTTGTTGGATTCCTGGCACTGGGACGAGGACCAGGGAGAGAGCCAGCCTGTCTACGATGAATTCGGTAGCATTCTGCTACTTGTATTAACCTTCAAATACCGATATGACCTACGGCCCTATGATCTCGGAATCACGAGCAACGACTCTTTTATTTTGAAATTACTGGATTGCGGACCTTCCAGCCAAAAGTTGGATGATCTGAGCGAGAAGCAAAATAAGAACCTTGGTGCTTGGATTACGGCGCTTTTTATAGCTGAGGGAATCAGCGAAGAGACCATGTCATCCTGCAGCCCGCAAGAGTTCTATCTTCTTGTGACCACCCTATTTAACCAAAGCCTCACGGCGTGTGAAGCGGGGAAACTGGAGTTCGACACTCTGAAGGGGGGGTTTGAATGTAAGGCTTTTATCCATACTCTCTGGGGCAAGGCTAACAGCTATAGATCTGCTTGAGCCTTTCCTGCTCCCGTCACTAGTCGTCGCTCTGACCTGGCTGGGCAACCATATCTGGGAGACCGAGAGTGACCCCACAATTCCGTTGAAGACCTTGCAGTCTCTAGTCAATCCCAGCTCCATATCTGGAGATGCGAGAGAAATCCACAAGACGGTACTGAACATCACCGCACGCTCGCTGGATGAGCAACTCAAGGATATCCGGTCTCGCCATCCGAACCGGGCGGATATTAAACCTATTCTGGATGTGCTTGAACCCTGTCTGTCCTTCCAGCGGACAGGTAGCTGTCACCGGTCAGAGCTCGACAGCTGGACCACTCACTCACCTGGGGGCTTACTTGGTAGTATCCGAAGCACCTTTCAAGGGCTTGTACTTTGGAGCACAAGCCCCGGTGTAAGCATGGCACCACATTCCTACACGCATCGGCAGCTTGTGGCCGGCATCCGAATGCTTGGGTCTACACGCGTACTCACCGCTATTGTCGATGAGTTAAAGATGCAGACCGAAGCAGGCAATGCTGACCTTGCCCTTGATATCGCAGTGACCATGATCTGCGCGTCATTAGCCGAGTCTTTTGCCATAGAACAAAGCAATTACCATCCCGTGGATCCCAACAAGGAACCGCTTCCACGATGCCCGGTACTCACCCTTCGCGATGCACTCAATTTGCAGCATGAAAACGTACCAAAGCTATCGGAGAAGGACCCATTGCGCGCCGAGGTTATTGTACGTCTGCATCGTCGGGTGAATGCCCTAATGACACCGACGTCGCAGATGCCCAACCTGGACATGAGCAATATCATCCAGGATATGCAATTAGGGGTTGAAGATCACGGCCAGATGGATCTCGAGCCAGCAGGCGCCGGGCACGGCGTCGGAGATGATGACGCCGCCAATCTGAACCGCATGCTGGACAACGCGGCAGCCGCAGCCGCAGCCGGGCTAGACAGCGGGATGGGACAGGGGATGGGTGGGGGGCTTGATACGAGCATTGACGATGTCTTGAATGCAGCCGACATGGCAGTTGGGAACCCAGAGTTCCTCGATCTCGACATGGAGGGCATGTTCTGATCAGACTATACTTGGATTCTAAAACTTGGACTGTTATTCATAACAACATCACCTCATACATATATCCCAACAAAGATTCGCTCGAACTTCTAATCCTATCCAAGATAACCCAGTGGCTCTCAGAGCTTGGTATTTGGACCCTGTATCTATCCCACCTATCGTAGTCTTGAAGGACGGCGCTCCGACGGCATCGTATAAGATAGCATCCGTTCGACCCGGAATATCTAGGCCTTGTTAACGTTACCAAGCAATGACTTGGCGGTCTCCTGATCAAAGTTATGCCCGGTGTCTTTGTGGGCACTTTGGCCGGGTACGTCGGCAGGCGCGGCGAGGGCAAGAGTGGAAAGGGAGAGGGCGATGATAGCGGCGAGCTCCATTTTGGATTTATCGTGGTGATTGCGATCAAATTACAAGTGTAGAGACTTGCCGGGATTTGACCATGTAGGAAGGTGACGAGAGTACTACTTATTATACTGTGGTGGCTAGGGAAAAAAAGGAGATATATACCTAGGGTGATCACTGGAATGTGAGGGATTTTGATTTACTGTTTCGTGAAGCAGAGTATTTTGGCGTATACATTCCCTATTCCTGAGGGTAACTTGGTGTCTAGATGGGTTCGTGGTGGATATAACGTATAGTGAGTAAATGTATATATTTTATCTATATAGATTGGATATCCGATTCGATGGATACGTCACAACAGTATAGAAATTGCTCTATCAGTGTCTTGAGTCGGCACTCGAAAACACACGATGCTAATAGTACTTAGTAGTATGATCGCAGATACAGAGTCTGCAAGTAATTCTCATCCTTCCGCGTAGCTGTCAATAATCCATTTGACGCGATCGGGGCCGAAGAATGCTACCTAGGAGTTGTACACCCCCCGCCTCTCGACAGGGTCGGAAGGGCAGGGAAGGAGTTGATTTGTGGGATATTTTTGTCGCTCGGGATCTCAAGGAGACTCGTTGGTTTCTGGACCTTGTCTGAGTGATTGTAGACCCTGCAGAGGTATGCCCTGGAATTGTTTGTTGCATCGGGATCTGTGGGTGGTTACGCATATCATCACCAGCTGAACTGTGTGGTGTTTCTCTAGCGGTTCAATAGTCCCGCGAGCGAGTCTCAAGGGAGTGCAGTAGTACTTCATTTATAATCCAATATGATCGGGTCAAAGTAAGACAATAAGCATAATTGGAGTTGTTAAGAGATGCATAAGCCTCGAGTTGATTGATCGAGATTGAATCTTCAGCTACAGGAGGAGGAGGAGGGCATGTCTGCAATGCATGCTGTAGCTATCCACGAAAAGCCGATGCATAGTACTTCTCTTCGCGCTGCTACCTCTACCAGGGAAAGAATATTCGCATCAGATCCGGAGGGTGGAAAGTACGTACAGGGGTAAAAAAGAAAAGTGCCGAGTGTGATAATGAGGTGCATAACCACATCTCGTTTATTTTAGTATCTGCATCGTTTATCACACCGCACGTGAAGGGTCGCCATAGCCTTTCTTTCTGACCATTATTGGTTGAGCGACCTGGCAAATCGCACCCCAAGACTCTTTTTTTTTTTTTTTTT